ACGGGCCTCGAAGGCAGGGCCGCAATGGGCCTCTAAGGCAGGGCCGCGACGGGTGGCACTAGGGTAGGGCCGCGACGGGCCTCTAAGGCAGGGCCGCGACGGGCATCTAAGGCAGGGCCGCGACGGGCGGCACTAGGGTAGGGCCGCGACGGGCCTCTAAGGCAGGGCCGCAACGGGCCTCTAAGGCAGGGCCGCGACGGGCGGCACAAAGGCAGGGCGCGCGACGGCGCACGTGAAACAGGCGCGAGGCGCGCTTCGGGCAGGGCAGGAAAAAAAATCATGGTGGGCCCTAAAAAACGTTCCCACTAGGGAACCTTCTCAGAATACCATGTTAGAATCAGGAACGGAATGAATGAACTATGAAGCAGGTGGGTACAAGTAGGAAACCTAAAAGTGTTGTACCCTATAAGAACTACCCCACTACAGCCTAAACAGACTATAGCATATATAAGTTTGACAGCTGTTTCTACGCACCGACATGTCGCTGCCGTCGTTCTTCATCCTCGTGTACGTCAACGACCTCGTCTTTAACACTGCTGACACTGAGGCACTGACCCTTGTGAAGTCGGAACTGCAAAAGAGACACACTTGCACTGGCCAGGGTGAACTACGCAGCTATCTTGGCTTGCAGATCACTCGGGACAGAGCACGACGCACCATCACCCTGACTCAGTCACACATGGTGCACCAGGTCCTTCAGCGCTTCGGCTTCCAGTTCTCCTCGCCACAGCCCACTCCTCTGTCTACCGGCAACTCGCTCTCAGCTCCACCTTCGGACGAGTTCGTAGAGCCGAGTGGTCCATACCCAGAGCTTGTGGGTTGCCTCATGTACCTGATGACGTGCACACGACCTGACCTCGCGTACCCTCTCAGCCTCCTGGCTCGCTACGTGACAAGAGGGTACTGCGTTACTTGTGCAGTACGTCGGGCATGGGGCTCGTGCTTGGAGGACGGGGTCCAGTTGTCCTCACTGGTCACGCAGACGCTTCTTGGGTTGACGACTCAGCTACGCAGCGGTCGTCACAGGGTTACACCTTCAGCCTCGATTCCGGCTCTGTTTCTTGGCGGTCTACCCGCTCGTCTTCAGTTCTCAGCTCCAGTTGTGAGGCTGAGATCTACGTCGGGGCCATGGCTGCACAGGAGCTACGCTGGCTCACATACCTGCTGACTGACTTGGGAGAGCAGCCTCGTTCGCCTCCAGTTCTGTAGGTAGACAACAAGGCCATGATTGCCTTGTGTCAGGAGCACCGACTTGAGCACAGAACGAAGCACATCGCTCTGCGATACTTCCTTGCTTGAGAGTTGCAGCAGCGTGGCCAACTTCGTCTTGCGTACGTGGCCACTAGGGCCAACACTGGTGATATATTCACCAAGGCACTTCCGCCTGGTGATCATCAGCGCTTCTCTATTGTGTTAGGCCTTGTGCCTACTTTGCCTCACTTGCTCACTGCGTGACTTTGCTTATACTGTGATGTATATATATACCTGCATGCTTCCACTTGCTAGGGTATGATCACTGTATTGTTTGTGTTCTTCATATAACTCTGCATGTGAACTGGCCTTCTGGCCCTTTGCTTGTGTTCGGACTGTGTGGTGACTTTGTGATCCACCTTGAGCTTGCTTTGCTTTTCTTGACTGGTCTTGTGACCGCTTGTTCTCCCCCACTTTGCCTATGGGGGTGTGTCAGAATGTTATATTGCTTACATTGTGTAGGCTATATCGGGGTAGCCCATAAGGGGTACAACCCAATTAGGGTTAGTACTTGTACCCAACTCTTTCATAGTTCATTCATTCTCGTTCATTCTTCTGACAACATATACATACACAGACGCACACGTACACACGCACACACACACACACGCACATGTACGCACACACATGCACGAAAACGAATGCATATGCACACACACGCATACACACGCAGCACACGCACACGCACACACACACACGCCAAACGCACACACACGCACACATACACAAATACACACACGCACACATACACATACACGCACACATACACACACACACATGTCAGAATGTTATTATCTAGCCTGTAGTGGGGTGCTCTATAGCGAGTACAACCCTGTTAGGGTTTGCTATATGTATCCCAACTGCTGCTAGTGAAACCCCTCCTTTCTTCATTTCTGTTTCTCACTGCTAGTTTCTGACATGCTATCAGAGCAGGTCGACCCCCTTGGGTCGATCCTGTGGGTGGGCCCACCACCTAATGCTTCCGCTGCTGTTCTACTTGTCGCGCGCCTCGGTCGCGCGACGCCTCCTTCCTGCCGCGCGCGGAGCGCGCGGCGAAATTTTTTTAGGGTTTTCATCCCGCCGTGCGCTCGGGGCGCGCGGCGGTTTTCTGCCCGCCGTGCGCCCCGAGGCGCGCGGCGGTTTCCTACCATGGGGGACCCGCGCGCGCCCCCGCCCTGTCCGTCGCGGCGCCCTGGGGGACCCGCGCGCTGCCCCCGCCCGTCCGTCACGGCACCCTGGGGAGCCGCGCGCTGCCCCCGCCCGTCCGTCGCGGCACCCTGGGGAGCCGCGCGCTGCCCCCGCCCGTCCGTCGCGACACCCTGGGGAGCCGCGCGCTGCCCCCGCCCGTCCGTCACGGCACCCTGGGGAGCCGCGCGCTGCCCCCGCCCGTCCGTCGCGACACCCTGGGGAGCCGCGCGCTGCCCCCGCCCGTCCGTCGCGGCGCCCTGGGGAGCCGCGCGCGGCCCCCTGCTGCCCCTTGGTGGCGCCCTGGGGGCCGCGCGCCTTCCCCCCCGCCGTCCCCCGCGCTCCTACCCCTTGCAACTCGTTTTAGGGTTTGGGGATGAGGAGTGTGGGGGTGACGGTTCTGGGGGTGACGGTTGTGTGCACCGTCCTCTACTCCTCCTCCTCCTCCGTCTCCCACTGCTGCAGCTACCGCTGAGGGGGGTGGGTGTGTGGGAGCCGAGGGTTTAGGGTTTTGGGGGGGGTGCCGTGGGAGTGGAGCTAGGGGTTTCAGCAGGGAGTGTGTGAGAGGTGTGTGGGACAGTTGGAGGAGGTTGAGTGGAGGCTGCTGTCTTGTCGTCCGCAGCACCTGTAGTCCGGGGCGCACTGTCCTGGTAGCCCAGAGAGTCTGCTGCGCCTGTCGCCCGTGGGTCCGTTGCTCCTGTAGCTCCTCGTAGCCCGTGAGCCAGTTACTCCAGTAGTCCGGGGCGCTGTCTCGGTAGCCACTGTGCCAGCAGCTCCTGTTGCCCGTGTGTCTGCAACTTCAGCCGTCGTCTCCCATCTTCTATCCTCGCACAGTCCCTCCTCCTCCTCACTTGCCCGCTGTGATTACCTCTAGCTTTGCTTATCATTGTGCACTCCTACTATGCCTGCTCATTGTGCTGATTACACCCCACTTTGGCTATGGGGGTGTGTCAGAATGTTATTATCTAGCCTGTAGTGGGGTGCTCTATAGCGAGTACAACCCTGTTAGGGTTTGCTATATGTATCCCAACTGCTGCTAGTGAAACCCCTCCTTTCTTCATTTCTGTTTCTCACTGCTAGTTTCTGACAACACACACGTATACACGCACACGCCCCCCCCCTCTCCCCCCCCACACACACACACAGACGCACGCACGCACGCACACGCACACATACGCACGCACACGCACACACACGCACGCACATGCACACGCACACACACATGCCCACACACACACATACACATACACATACACACACATACAAATACATTCACACATTCACATTCACACATTCACACACACACACACTCACACACACGCGCGCGTGCGCGTGCCCACGTATACGCATACGCACATACATTTATAAGCACATCTAAACTCACCCATACGCGCAAAGACAAAATCGCATGCGCGTGCGCATACACGAGAGCCTGTTTGTGTGGACAATACAAAAGTGGTGGTTTGTACTACATTAGGTAAAAGGATTATACCGTCGCCACCCCTAGCCCGGCCCGTCGCCCCTAGGCCCGTCGCCCCTTGGCGTCGCCCGTCGCCCCTAGCCCGGCCCCCCTTATCAAACTTATATATAGCTTACATTGTGTAGGCTGTAGTGGGGTAGCCCATAAGGGGTACAACCCAATTAGGGTTACTACTTGTACCCAACTCTTTGCTAGTTCATTCATTCTTGTTCTTCTCTTAACATGGTTTCAGAGCAGGTCCTCCGCTAGGACCGGTTTTCCATGGGCCCACCACTTCGCTGCCCCACTAGCAGCCCTCTGCAGCCCTCGTGCTGCCCCTGCTTCCTAGCGCGACCCGTAGGCCCCTAGGCCCCGGCCCGTCGCCACCCCTAGCCCGACCCGTCGCCCCTAGGCCCGTCGCCCCGGCCCGTTGCCCCTAGGCCCGTCGCCCCCTGGCGTCGCCCGACGCCCCTAGCCCCCCCCCCCCCCCCCCCCCCCGTCGCCCTAGGCCTGTCGTGACCCCCGTCGCCCGTCGCCCAGCCTGTCGCCCTAGGCCCGTCGCGACCCCCATCGCCCCTAGGCCCGTTGCGACCCCCGTCGCCCATCGCCCCAGCCCGTTGCCCCGACCCGTCGACCCCCGACCCGTCGCCCTAGGCCCGTCGCCCGTCGCGGCCCCTCGCCCGTCGCGGCCCGTCGCCCGTCGCCCCTAGCCTAGGCCCCAGCCCCACGGCCCCTCGCGACCCGTCACCCCTAGCCTAGGCCCAGGCCCCGCGGCCCGTCGCCCCTAGCCTAGGTCCCTCGGCCCCACGGCCCCTCGCGACCCGTCGCCCCTAGCCTAGGCCCAGTCCCCGCGGCCCGTCGCCCCGTCGCCCCTAGCCTAGGCCCCACTGCCCCCCGTCGCCCTAGGCCACGTCGCCCCGCGGCCCCTTCGCCCCTAGCCCCGCGGCCCCATCGCCCCTAGGCCCCCGGCCCCTCGGCCCCCCTTCTCTCCAGGCCCCGCGGCCCCGTCGCCCTAGGCCCCCCGGCCCCTCAGCCCCTTCTCACTTGGCCCCGCGGCCCGACGCCCCTAGGCCCCCGGCCCCTCGGCCCCTTCTCTCCTGGCCCCATGACCCCGTCGCCCCTAGACCCCCGGCCCCTCGGCCCCTTCTCTCCTGGCCCCGCGTCCCCGTCGCCCTAGGCCCAAGGCCCCTCAGCCCCTTCTCACTTGGCCCCGCGGCCCGACGCCCCTAGGCCCCCGGTCCCTTAGCCCCTTCCCTCCTAGCCCCGCGGCCCCGTCGCCCCTAGGCCCCCGGCCCCTCGGCCCCCCCCCCCTTCTCTCCTGGCCCCGCGGCCCCGTCGCCCCTACCCCCCGACCCCTCGGCCCCCCCTTCTCTCCTGGCCCCGCGGCCCCGTCGCCCTACGCCCCCCAGCCCCTCGGCCCCTTCTCAAGGTGCTGTAGGTGCTGCTCAAGGAACTCCGCGCCCGCCCTTCTTTGAGGGGTGCTCCCCCTACCACCTTCCCCCCTCCTACGCCTCTGCTGCTGCTGCAGACGTCTCTGTTGCTGAGGACGTCGGGGCTGCTTCTGCTAGTGCGAAGCGCCGCAGCAGCAAGGGCAAGGGTGGCAGGGGTGGTGGAGGTGGCAGCGGTGGTGGTGGAGGTGGCAGCGTGAGTGGTGGTGGGGGCAGCAGTGGAGGTGGTGGAGGCAGTGGAGGTGGTGGCGGCGGTGGGACTGGTGGAAGGAGTGGGGGCTCTAGTGGCCGCGGTGGAGGCAGCGGTGGGCGTGGCGGCACTGGAGACGGTGGGACTGGTGGTGGTAGGACTGGACCCTGGCGTGGAGGCCCTGGTGGTGGCCAGCGGCAGCAGCAGCAGTGTCCGAGCGAGACCCAGTCGCCCCAGCAGCTCCGTGAGTGGTTGTTTCAGCGTGGTACGTCTGGGGGTAGTGATAGCTGCCCGTATGTCATTCGCACGGGTGTCCGTGCTGGTGAGACATGCGCGAAGCTTCACTCTCAGCACCGCTGCTTCTCCCGCCTCGACGACGCCTGGCGCGCTGAGTTTGGTGACGAGGTCGAGCGCCCTCGCTGGGCAGATTTGCTTAGGTCTGGAGTTGCTATCTTTGACCTAGACTATGATGCTATTCTTTCTACTATGTATGCTTTGTCTGCTAGTGCTGAGGGTGACTGTTACCGGTGTGTGCCACCTGACCCAGGTATAGCGGCTGCTGGTGCTAGTGAGTCTGGTACTCTCCCTAGTACTACGCCTGCTGAGGCCTTGCACACCTTCACGTTGGACTCAGGTGCCTTGCACTGTTTCTTTCGTGACAACACCACCCTCACTCCTCTCCCTGCACCTGTCAGGTCTTCACCTCCCCTCGTTCTCTACGAACTTGGTGAGTACCGCTGCCCTCCAGGATGCGATGGTCACTGCCACCACTCCTGGGGGTCAGCGTGTGTCGATCTGCACGTGCACACGTATGGGGCGTCACCTGGCCACGTTCACTCGTCGGCCAGGGTCGAGTCTGTACACACTCACTACCGAGCCTCCTCAGGGAGCTGCGTCTGCTCAGGTGTCCGAGTTAGGTCAGGTAGCCGCCTCTTGCTCGTGTCGCCTCCTGTCACACCAGACTCTTCTGTGGCACCACCGCCTGGGTCACCCTCCCTGCCACGCCTTCGTCTTCTTGTCTCTTGTCTACCCAGGTCTCTGCCTCCCCTCCCGCCCTCGCCTGCCCCGCCCTGCCTTCCTTTCGTCGAGGGGCTGCAGCGTGCTGCTCCTCACTCCTCCTCGTTTCCCCTGACGACTCCTCCCCTGCAGACTCTCCACATGGACGTGTGGGGCCCAGCCCGCGTCACTGGACAGGGCTGCGAGCGCTACTTTCTGCTGGTAGTTGACGACTACACGCGGTACACCACGGTCTTCCCCTTGCGCAGCAAGGGTCAGGTCGTTGATGTCTTGATCCCTTGGATCCGCACAGTCCGTCTCCAGCTCCGTGAGCGGTTCCGCCAGGACCTTCCTGTCCTGCGTCTGCACTCTGACAGAGGTGGTGAGTTCTCCTCCGACCTCTTGCAGGACTTTTGTCGTGGGGAGGGCATTCTCCAGTCGTTCACGCTTCCAGACTCCCCTCAGCAAAATGGGATTGCTGAGCGCCGCATTGGCTTAGTCATGGAGGTCGCTCGTACCTCCATGATCCATGCGGCGCTCCCCATTTTCTGTGGTCGTTTGCGGTCCGGTACGCTGCGCATCAACTCAACCTCTGGCCCTGTGTCTCCTTGCCGGAGACCTCGCCCACACTGCGTTGGACGGGGGAGGTTGGGGATGCATCGGTGTTCCGGGTCTGGGGTTCTCGTGCCTTTGTTCGCGATACGTCCGTGGACAAGCTCTCCGCCCGTGCTATCCCCTGCGTCTTCCTTGGCTTTGTCCCTGACGAACCTGGCTGGCAGTTTTACCACCCCACCTCGCGCCGTGTCCTCCCTTCTCAGGACGTCACGATGGACGAGTCGGTTCCCTTTTACCGTCTCTTCCCCTACCGCTCTCCCCCGCCCCCCCCCCCCTGCCGCTCTTCCTTGCTCCCGGTCCCCCTCTGGTAGAACCCCCTCCCGCCCCAGGGTCCTGCTCCCTCAGGTGTGTCTCAGGTAGACCCTCTCCCTGGTGCTGCGCCTGTTGAGGTAGCTTTCAGCTCAGGTGCTGCTCGAGGTGCTGCGTCTGGGGGTGCTGAGTCTGGGGGTGCGGAGCCGGGGGGTGCGGGTTCTGAGGGTGCTGGGTCTGGGGGTGCTGAGCCTGGGGGTGAGGAGCCTGGGGACGCTGAGCCTGAGGGTGTTGAGCCTGGGGGTGCTGAGTCGGAGGGTGCAGAGTCTGGGGGTGCTGAGCCTCGGGGTGCTGCTTCGTCTGGAGGTCTTGCTGGTGCTTCGCCGCGACTGTCTCCGCAGCAGCTGCGTGATTGGCTTGTTCGGCGTGCACGCCTTTGGAGTGGACCTACCGGAGCTGGAGGCGCAGGAGACGTTGGAGCTGAAGGTGTTGGAGTTACTGGTGGAGCTAGTGGTCCTGGAGGTTCTGCGGCTGCTGGTCCTGGAGGTGCTCGTACCAGGGGTGCTTGAGCTGACGGGACTGGTGGTGTTGGGGGCGCTGGAGCTGGAGACCCTATGGAGCCTGGAGTTGCTGGAGCTAGAGGCTCTTGCGCTGGTGGCTCTAGCGCTGGATGCACTGGAGCTGCAGGAGCTGGAGCTGTTGACCTTGGAGCTGGAGGTGCTGGAGGCACTGTGCGGCCGCGACCGTACTTCCTTCCCCTGCTTCAGCAGGTTCTTGGTGTCCCGTCTTCTACTAGCCTTACTACTCCCCTCCTGTGTCCACCGCCTGACCAGTCGCAGCCGCCGTTATTGTCAGCCTCCCTGCACCCTGCTCCTTCTCCTTACACTAAGCAGTCCGGAGGTCTTACAGAGCGTCGTGAGCTTGTGTCTTGTCCTGTCTCGCCTATTCGCACAGCTCGTTGCCTTCCTCCTTCGCGTCCTCCTCCTGTCCCTGGCACGCACGCTATGGCACTCCGTCCTTCCTCTGTTCCACTGCGTGTTCCTCTGCCGCCTCCTCCTGAGTCCTCTCTTCCTAAGGTCCCTGACCCTGAGTCTTACCGCGCTTGTGCTGCCAGTCCCACTGTCTCTCGTCTCCTCGCCACTGCTGTCACTGACCCTTCTTTTGAGTCTGCTGCTGCGTCTGCTCTTGTTGCTCAGCTGCCTGACTTTGTTGATGTCTGCCGTCTAGACTACGCCACTGCTCTTGTTGCTGAGTTTGCGTCTGCCAGTCCTCCGTCCGTCGGGGGTGAGTGTGCTCTTGGCACAGACGTCCTTGAGGACAGGCAGGAGGACTTTGAGTGTCTTGCAGCTGCTGTACCTCGTTTCGCTTCCATGCTGCTTGCCCCTGAGGGAGACCCGGATGCACCAGACATCCCGACCCCGCGCTCTTACGCAGAGGCGATTACGGGTCCCTGCTCCTCTCAGTGGCATGCAGCCATGGATGCTGAGATGGCATCCTGGAAGTCCACAGGCACCTACGTCGACGAGGTTCCCCCTCCTGGGGCGAACATTGTCGATGGCATGTGGATCTTCAGGGTGAAGCGGCCGCCGGGTTCTCCGCCTGCCTTCAAGGCACGTTACGTTGCTGCACGTCGCTGCTCAGCGTGACTACGAGTTGCACTCTCTGGACTTCAGCACAGCTTTCCTGCAGGGCAGCCTGCACGAGGAGATCTGGCTGTGCCGCCCACCTGGCTTCACTGGGTCGTTTCCTGCAGGTACCCAGTGGAGCCTCCGCCGGCCAGTCTACGGTCTTCGCGAGGCGCCTTGTGAGTGGCACAACACACTGAGGTCGACGCTTGCGGCTCTTGGGTTTGCTCCTTGTACTGCTGACCCGTTGCTGTTTCTACGCACCGACACCTCGCTGCCGCCGTTCTTCGTCCTCGTCTACTTCGACCACCTGGTCTTTGCCACTGCTGACATTGAGGCATTCACCCTTGTGAAGTCGGAGCTGCACAAGAGACACACCTGCACTAACCTGGGTGAATTGCGCATCTATCTTGGCTTGCAGATCACCGGGGACAGAGCATGGCACACCATCACCCTGACTCAGTCACACATGGTGCAGCAGGTCCTTCAGCGCTTCGGCTTCCAGTTCTCCTCGCCACAGCCCACTCCTCTGTCTACCAGCCACTTGCTCTCAGCTCCACCTTCGGATGAGTCCGTAGAGCCGAATGGTCCATACCCAGAGCTTGTGGGTTGCCTCATATACCTGATGACGTGCACACGACCTGACCTCGCGTACCCTCTAAGCCTCCTGGCTCGCTACGTGGCTCCCGGTAGGCACCGAAAGGTGCACTGGGATGCTGCGAAGAGGGTACTGCGTTACTTGTGCAGTACGTCAGGCATGGGGCTCGTGCAAGGAGGACGGGATCCAGTTGTCCTCATTGGTCACGCAGACGCTTCCTGGGTTGACGACTCAGCTACGCAGCGGTCGTCACAGGGTTACACCTTCAGCCTTGGTTCCGGCTCTGTTTCCTGGCGGTCTACCCGCTCGTCTTTGGTTCTCAGCTCCAGTTGTGAGGCTGAGATCTATGCTGGGGCCATGGCTGCACAGGAGCTACGCTGGCTCACCTACCTACTGATTGACTTGGGGGAGCAGCCTCGTTCGCCTCCAGTTCTGTACGTAGACAATAAGGCCATGATTACCTTGTGTCAAGAGCACAGACTGGAGCACAGAACGAAGCACATCGCTCTGCGATACTTTCTTGCTCGAGAGTTGCAGTAGCGTGGCCAGCTTCGTCTTGCGTACGTGGCCACTCGGGCCGCTTAGCCATTCGCAACCACCTGCCATTAGCTGAATGTGCCCACTTCGGACAGCACAGGCACTGTACGACGTTGTAGTCACTCGCTACTCCTCCTCTGCCACTGCTGCTCTAGGCCGCCTCTTTCTGCCCTACCTGTTCTCCGAGTTGTCCGCCTTTGCCACAGTCGAGGACCTTGTTTCCCACCTTCGCGCTAGTGACGCTCGCTACCGCGATGCCGTTCCTGCTGAGTTCCTTCATAGGAACCCACCCCCGATGTACATCACTCTCTACTTTATAGTCACCCGCCTCCCTGACTCTCTTCGCTCTGTCAGGGACCACTTCCTCTCTCTTGACCCCACCTCCCTGTTAGAGTGTGAGTGAATGGAATGAAACGGAAAAGAGGGGATTTCACTAGCAAGCAGTTGAGTACATATAGCAAACCCTAAATTGGGCTGTACTCACTATTGAGTACCCCACTGCAGGCTAGACAAATATAACATTCTGACACACCCCCATAGCCAAAGTGGGGTGTAATCAGCACAACAAGCAAAGCAAAGACAAGCTCAGGGTGGATCACAACGTCACCACACATTCTGAGCAAAAGTACAAGAAGCAACAGTTTATAGTTCACAGCAAAAAGCAAAGCTAGAGGCTATCACAGAGGGCAAGTGAGGAGGAGGAGCTGGACTGATAGGGAAGGAGAGAGGAGGCAACGGCTGAAGCTGCAGACACACGGGCAACAGGAGCGGCGCGCACTGTGGCTACCGGAAGCGCACCTCCGGACTACAGGAGTAACTGGCTCCGCGGCTAAGACGAGCGGCAAGAGCAACGGACCCACGGGCGACTGGCGCAGCAGGCTCGCTGGGCTACCGGAGGCGCACCTCCGGACTACTGGCGCTGCTGACGACACGATGGCTACTTCCCTTC